CTGCAGCCTCTGAGCCCTGAATACCCACCTGGCTTACTTTTCTCCGGTCTCTTCTTTGCTTCCTATTTTTTAGGGCATCTGGTCCAGTATGTGCTTCCCTGACTTGGAGCTCACTTTGACTTTGCTTTCCTCTCCGCCTCTGGAGAGCCTCTTCTGGCTAGATTCTACACCTGCATCAAGTCAGCACCCATGCAATGCATGGCTCAGCCAATCTGGTTTTTGTTGTTTGTTTCAAGATAGGGTCTCCCTATATAGCTCTGGATGGTCTGGAACGCTCCATGTCAACAAGGCCGACCTAGAACTCATCAAGGCTCACTTGCCTCTGCCTCCCCAGTGCGAGATTAAAGGTGTATGGTTTCATGCCTGCACAGCCCAGCCAGTTTGAACAAAGCATTCTCTGTGCCTCTCAGTCTCTGGCCCTTATGAGCTTCCTCTGTGTACGGCTAGATGCTCTCCTGTTTGCTCAACGTTTCTTCAGGTTCTGCAAACAGTGAATGAATCTATAAACCACTGAATGAAGGTATGGGAGGATAAATGCAAGGGAGTCAGATAGAAAATTCGAACTGTAGGAGATACGCGAATGGGGACATAGTGGAGACCGGCGGGCAACACGCAGAACTTGCTGACAGGAAGTGACAACCGTGCAGCTGGCTCTGTCATCTGATGGGCTGCAAGATGTTGGGAAAGTTCTTCAACTTCTGGAATGCCCCATGCTTTCATGTGTAGATGAGAACGCCAGTGTTGTGAAAGTCAGGTGAGACAGAGGATGTGAGAAATGTTCTGTATTAGCAACATGGCATTTTTATTGCTAAGGCCAGAATGCTTGTGGCTTTGCAGTCGAAACTTATGGATCAGAGAGTTCAGTGGTTTGCTTTCAGGTGAACACGCTACTGCTGAGTTACACCCAGGTCTCCTAGACGCCAGGGTTTTCCTACAGGAAAAGTAAGTAACCCAGGCCAAAGATCAGAAAATGTTCTCAATGCTGATTAAAACAATTTCTGGAAACAAGTTGGGGGTTCATCATCTGTTTGGTGGCTCTGAGTCTAATACTTTCCTGCATTAGGTAAACTTACTTAGTAGATGGTTCTTTCCCTGTGTTTTCTAGATAGCCTCCACTAAGAACAAAACTATTTATATTGGTTGGGGAAAACATTTCATCTCTTTGCACAATAAGCAAAGACTGGAAAATTAACACCCAGAAGGAACCACACTGGTCATGTTCCTTTAAAATACCTTCACTGGCTCTTGTCTTTATTGCAGGGATTAAAACAGTCAGGCAACCAGGTGCAAGCTGGGAGTCCCCTCGAGCTGCTTTTCAATCCCATCTTCCAGCTCAGTAGCTGAAAATAGTTAGACAAGGAAGGGAGGAAGCAGGTGCCAAGGGCTTCCCAGTGGTGTGGAGTTTCCCTTGGCTAAGTGCACGGGCCAGATTTGTGTCACATTGCTGGCTGATAGAAACTGACGTTGTTTCCCTGTGGACAGGCTTGTCACCTAAACAACTTTGAAACTCCTTCATGTCTCAAATTCATGTGAATGCTTTTAAGCAGCCCTTCAAGAGTGCTGCTCAATACACACATATATATACATACATATATGTAGTATTATTTTTATACGTATACATTTATATGTATACACACATATGTAGTATTATTTATTATATAATAGTTTTATTATGTAATATATATTGTTTGAAGAGCCCGAATTCATGAAGACAGAGCTTGTGAGGGATTTGAGAATACTCTGACACAGGGTTTCAGTTCACAGACTTTAGAATCAAGGCATTCTGCATCAAGTCTTCACAGCTAAAGGACTGGAAGAGAGTATTCAGCTCTGTCTGATGCAATAACAAATCGCTACAAATTTCTGTGTCTTAAAAGAACAAAAGTTGTAATCATACATGATAGGAAGCCTGCAATCTTAACCAGTTCGTTTTCAGGGATACAGTCCTTCTGCTCCCCCCCACCCCGAGAAGGAATCAAAGGACTGGAAAATGCCTACTTCTTGGTTTGAGGCTCCCTCTACCTCTTGAGACCCTCGGCTCAGTGTCTTTCATTTCTGACCTTCTCCCTCTCTCTTATAAAAGACTCTTGTCACCCAGTGGGCAGACTCCTGCAACAGGGTGAATGGCAACACCTCAAGACTCTCAGCTTGTGCCTGCAGAGTCTCGTTGGCAGATGCAATGCTGCAGAAGCAGCCAGAAACCAAAGCAGCTCACATTCAGAAAAATCCAGTTATAGCATGCATTAGCATGACTGTTATGGGGTAAGCAATCACCTTCTTATTGGATTTAAGGCACTACCCTTAGGAAGAAACTCATGCCTGTTATGTAAACCTGGCTAAAAGCCGATGACTGTGGATGTCATAGGCTCTAGGTAGGAACCTACTACTGTTTTGTTAAATGGATATGGTGTCAAATACATAAATATGTCTTCTAAATATTTACTTTTATGTACATAGGTTAGTGCTACTAGTGCCAGAGAAAAGGTCCAATGAGAAAAAACTTCTGTTTGGGGTGAGTGATGGTTAATGCAGAGACTTACGACTGGACAAAGTACTGAGAATAAGTGACCGTTGCATGCTCATCCCTAAGGGGGGCATGTGTTTCAATCTCTGCAAGACTCAGGGGATATCACAGATGAGGAGGAGGAAAAAAAACACAAGAGCCCAGAGGTGGGGATGAGGCTGTGAAATGCTGTCTTCTGCACATGGCAAGGTGATGGTATTCATGAACTCATAGGAGCCGTGGCCACCTGCACGAGGCTATTCAAGCTAACGTTCCAGCCTGGATAGAGAAGGGGGATCATGGAGCGCCCACCCTTCCCTGAGGAGCAACTGTCAGTTAATGGTTGCTGGGGGAGGGTGAATAATTTTCTTTGGTGGTGTAGCCACCGATAAATTGCCCGTGCTTCCATAAACAAGCAAAAATCCCTCCTCATACTCATGCATGCAGCCCTAAATAAACGCAGTGAGTCACAAGAAAATAAAAAAAACAAACAAAATAAAACACAAGACACATACGTAAGAGAGGGACTTAATGGGAAGAATAAAAGATTCGTCAGGGGTGGAAAATGGATGAAAGAGGGAATTGAATTCAGGGTGAAAAAAACCAAAATGCATTATATCCATGTGCAAAATTATCAAGGAACTTTTAAAAATTAAGGAAAGCTACTGGAGTGATTTCAAGAGTTATTCTAAGAGAAGTCACATCAACTGGTCTATTGAAGATCTCTTGTCTGGGTGTTGGGTAGACCACAGAGAGCTTTGGTGGGGTCAAGAATGCAGGTGTGGGATTTCCCTCTGTATGCTGTGAATACCGTTGGTTAATAAAGGAACTGCTTTGGGCCTATAGCAGAGCTATAGGGGAACAGAGCTAGGCAGGGAAAACTAAACAGAATGCTGGGAGGAGGAGTTAGAGAAATATTCCGCCCCTATCTCCTTCAGGTCTGTACAGGTTACATGAGAATATACCTGTGTGGGATAGTCTTATGTCACCTTGACACAAGCTAGAGTTACCAGAAGGGAAGGAACCTTAATGGAGTCAATTAGATATAGCTGCGTGGCATTTCCTTAATTAGTGATTGATGGGGGAGGGCCCAGCCCATTGTGGGTGGTGCCATCCCTGGACTGATGGTTCTGGGTGCTGTAAGAAAGCAGGTTGAACTAGCCATGGGAAACAAGTCAGTAAGCAGCATCCCCCCATGACCTCTGCATCAGCTCCTGCCTCCAGGTCCCTTCTCCAATTGAGTTGTTATCCTGACTTCCTTGATAACGAACATGATGTAGAGGTGTAAGCCGAGTAAACGCTTTCCTCCCCAACTTGCTTTGGTCATGGTGTTTCATTACAGCAATAGTGACCCTAACTGAGACACACCCCTCTCCCCTAGCCTCCACAAACCCCAGTCTTCTTTCCTTTCCAGGCTCATCTAACTCTGGGGTATTTTTATCCATGGTGGACAATACTTTCAACCCTACGACAATGAGACTCAGGAATGCCCCTTTCCTTTCTCCTAGTAGGATGTCGACTTTATTAAGGTAAAATGGTGATTTTATTTCTATGTTATTAATTAAATTTTGAGGCAGGGTATTCCTGTGTGACTTGCTCTGTCCTGAAGCTTGCCACCCTGCCTCAGCCGTCTAGGTGAGATAACAGGTGTATGACTTTCTTGACTATGTAAGAAATAAATAAAGGCCCATTCTGATTTCTTAGAGGACCAGAATGTAAAGTAGTGATCTGCTTCATAAAAGGTAGTCTCCAGGCCAGGCGAAGGAAACATTTAGTGTACCATAGCCATACTTGTCTGGGTCTTGTAGGTAGCAAAAGTAATACATTGAAACTCTTAATGAAGATAGCATCATTCTAATTGTGCCGACTGATCCCAAAATAAACCTCAAAACAAAAGGTCAGCTCCTTTCTTATGGGCATTCAGTACTCAGAGTGTCCCATTAGCTTCTGCTCCCTGCTTTTGGATAGCTGTTGCTATCAGTCCCCACACAAGTACCTACACAGTTACTGTTTAAACTGCAGTTTCCTGGAGGAGAATTGTACACAGTTTGAGACACATGTTTTCTGACTGAGCTGTGTCAATGTTCTGTCGGAAAAACCTTGGCTCTAGAATCAGAAGTCCTCCAAAGTATTTTCCCTGACTTTCCCAGCCTAGCTCAACAAGTAGCCCTTCCCCTGACAGGGCCGCCCCAAAGGCAGGCAGCCCTAGGCTGCCAGGGTTTGGTGAGCAGTTTTAAACTTCTGGACTAATTGAAACTCCCTTGAACTTGGCAGGGCTCCTTTGCTTCAGTTGTTGGTGGAGATTTAGAGCCTCTGTACTCTTTTTTTGTCTCTTCTGGCCTCAGCTTCTGGAAGGAAGAGTCAGTTTGTAGGACACGCTGTTGTCTGGGATGTGGAGAGGGAAGCCCATAGCCAGCTCTCCAGCTTTGAAAGGCGTTCCTACATCCGGAGCCAGATATTTGGCAACTCAACTGTTAACTTTCTGTGGTTTTTCCTCCCTGGGATCTACGTGACGTCACCAGTGTAATTTGAGTCCGGAGCTTTGTTCACACTTTAAATAGCAGTCCAGGGATGATTTTACACAGACTCCCTGGAAGCGCTCAAGCTGAGCTGGGGAAAGATCCACATCGATGAAAGCAAAGAGAAGCTACCAAACCACCAGCATGTCCTCGTCTCTCCGAGTAAGCCCGTCCATCCACGGCTACCACTTTGACACGGCCTCTCGCAAGAAAGCTGTGGGCAACATCTTTGAAAACATAGACCAGCAGTCCTTGCAGAGGCTCTTCAGGAACTCTGGAGACAAGAAGGCAGAGGAGCGGGCCAAGATCATTCTTGCCATCGATCAAGACTTAGAGGAGAAAACACGAGCTCTCATGGCCCTGAAGAAGAGGACCAAAGACAAGCTTCTCCAGTTCCTCAGACTGCGGAAATATTCCATCAAGGTGCACTGAGCAGAGCAGGATGGGTCAGGAGCTTATCCGCCAATGGACCTTTAAAGACAGACCCAGCCAGCGAGCCTGCCAGCCCGGGCAAGAGCAGCGTCCTGCGCGCTGCGCGTATATGCTTGAGCGCTTCTTCCATCAGGACCCCGAGGATGGAAGGGGACAGAGCACACCAGCTACAAAGACTCCAACTCCTTGCAGCCCTGAGCTGTCAGACTGAGGGCAAAGTGCCTTCAGCAGGCGTTGAGAACTCTCCCGGCCAGAAAGAACTGGCTTTGCTCTGGTAGGAGAGGATGGAAGCACGGAACAGAACGTGACAGACAGACCGGGACTGGCAGAGTGCACCCAGGGTCACCGGCAAGGCCCTAAGACTGAACTAAAACCGAACTTGGTTTTTGGTGGTGTTGTTTGGTTTGTTATTTTGTTTTCTTTTCCTTTCCTTTTTTTTTTTTTTTTTTAAATGTGTCAAAGCAGATAGGGAGAGGGAGGAAGCAGGAGGAATAACAAACCTGAATGGTTTACTGAGTTTTTAAAATCTGAATGTTTAAAATGTGGCTAAACCTTAATACTGTTTATTAGCCAAGATTTTTAGAGATCAGTAATTGATTGCTTACATTTGTTGCAATGCCTAAGAAAGTGTATAGCCTGGTATTAAAGTCAGGGGACTGGGTGCTTTGCCCAGCCCAGGAAAACCCACACCTCTGTCTACATGTTTCTAGAGGATTTGTATACATTTCAACCAGGTTTGCACAAAGTTGAAATAATGGGGCTATCCATAAATCTGAAGTACTGTGAACAATTTTTTAATGTTTTTTACTCTCTGACTAATGCTAACATCTAATCTAATTAAATGTCCTAAAGATACTGCAGCCATCACTAGAAAGTGAGCATGGGAAACTTCAGAAGATGCTGTGTGGCCTTTATAATTTATTACACATTGTAAGTGATACGCAGCCCTAATAAATTATTATATATAAATGTAGCTTCTCTTGGTCTGTGATGATTGGTCCCACAGGAAAAAATCTAGATTGGTAAGTTTGGATCATTCTAAACTTTAATAGGGGGCTGAGTCTAAAGCTGTAGGGGCTTTCAGAGCAGTCTTGTGCAGACTGCCAAACTTTCCCCAAACAAATTATTGCACCGAGTGTCTACAGAATTTCTTTGCCCCAGTTTTAAATGTTGTGGCAAGGATATAGTTATCCACAGAGTAACTTTCCAACGTTGCTTTTATATATCCATTATATATTTCCATGTTTGTGGAGTCTCTCCTCTGTCATCATAGCTGATATCCAAGGGTACCCACTTATTTCTTTCTGATCAGTTTGATTTGAAGTTAGATTAAATAAGGATAAAGTTTCTGTGGGTTAGTATAACTTTACCATCTCTTTCATTATTTAGAAATAAAGCATTTCTAAGGAGGCGTACACAAATGCCCACTGTGCTTTCTTAACAGAAAAGCAAACACAATCCCCAGAAATTGTTTCAGCGAAAACCTACCAAAAATTTGACTACAGTATTTCAAAACACATGACCTATCTGAAATCTTCAGGAGGGTTAAAAGCCAGAATTTTAAATACAAAACTTATAAAAGGAAAGAAAGGTGGTAAAATATATTCAGCTATTAGTTATGAAGCTATTGAAGGTCATTATAAATCAACCCCATGGGACCCTTAGGGTTGTAGACAGTGTTTGACCATTTGGCCAGCATGTGCAAAACCCTGGGTTTCATTCCCAGGAAATAAGGAAAGGGTGAAGGGAAAGTTATTCTAGCAGCGTGTGTGTGTCTGTGTGTGTACACATGTGCAATACCCTTGAACATTTTTTCTTGGAATATTATTCATAATCATCATCATCATCATCATCAGATTTTCAAAGACAACCATGACATCAAAAGAATTTAAGACCCACAGAGGCAGGGCTTCACAGGGAGCACTCAGCTCGCCAGAATATGATTATGAAAGTGGAGGCTGTGGACAAGCCCTCTGCTCCATCCCCGTCTCTCAGCCTGATGCACACGGAGTTAGCTAACTGCTGTCTGTGTGTGCTCGGAGTAAGCTTCCCGTTCCTTAGGGGAAGCCTCACGGAGGACTTTTAAGTCTTATACAAAGACAGAGCTGGGCATGGCTGTCTTGGGCTTGAAATCCTACCACTCAGGAGGATCATGAATTTGAGGCCAGTAACAGTCACTTTGTGAAATCATGTCTTCAAAACGCATCAGCCCACCCAATCCTCCATGCATCCCAATAAAGAAGGGACATCTCAGATGCTGAGCTTAGAGCATGGGTTTAACCCACCCCAGGTCCTCAGAATTCAGCCTTCTGCTGCTGCTGTTTTCAGAAGAGTGTGGTGAGGGCTTGCCTTCTTTACACAGGAACATTAAGTTGTATAAACTTTTTTTTTTTTTGGCAACATCTTGCTGTTATTTTCTGATTTCAACACCAATGCACGAGGAAGAAAAACAGAAACTCCTCCAGCAGGTTGTCCCAAGCACTCGTCTCTCCTTTGGGGAGAACACAGAGTGGGAACGGTGTGATCGTACAGGACCATTTTAGGTACATCAAGAACATTGTATCATGTCAGATGAAAGTAGGCATTGTCAGAAAAGGAAGCCTGTGGGGCCAGAGAGGTGGCACAGTAGTTCAGAGCACATGCTGTTCCTGCAGAGGACTGGTTTTGGTTCCAGATACAACACATGTGACTCAAGATTACCAGTAACTCCTGACCTCTCCCCTCAGTGGGCACCTACACTAATGTGTACAAATACACACACACACACACACACACACAATCCAAATTAAGTCTTAAAAACATGTAAAGGATGATTAGTTCAGTCCTGAGTTCTATTTCTGACGTGCAGAGAGTCAAATCAATTTGTAAGATCCTGTAATAAAAGAAATAAAGTATAAAGGGCTCAGTAGCTCATATATTAGCTCATTTGGATCATAGCAATAACTAACTTTTACCAAGACCTAGTACCAGTGGCCAGATAATTCTCTAACTATATTTGTGATATAAGTGGTAAGAGCAAGCATGTTTGCATTTATGTCTCCCTGTACACACAAGGCTGTAAGCTTCAAGAGTTTAAGAAACTTGCCAGGGACATATAACTCCAAGAAGGATGGCCTCCATGCCCAGACAGTGGCTTTGACCATGTCACCAGGACGGACAAAGCTCCCTCCTCCTCTGTAGTTAGCGATCAGTCACTTTGTTTTCAGCTGTATCTGTCTGTCTGTCCACCACGGGGACACGTCATAGTTAACCATTTTGGTGGTGTCATACAGCTAAGGCAGTATTGTGTTTGCAGCTTGGAGCCAAGGCCACTCCTTGTGTCTCCTCCAAGCAACTAAGGGCTTAGGTCTGGTTTTCTCTTTAGGTATGTCAGAAAGCACAGGCTCACTGATTTATTGATCCAGCTTCCTATCTTCTCACAGTAAAAGGAAGCCCAGTAGCAGATGGGATTTACTGAGAAAGGTCTAAGTGATGTGTCTAGCTATGCATTCTTCTACTGTCATGGGGAGCTCTGAATGTAACTGATATTTACCTGAGAAGCTGGATTTGCTAACTTTAAAGAGAGGCCCACTGTTTGTGGCTTCTGTGTCCTTGCAGACACATCAGACACCTTCGTGCTTGTACACAAGTTCCCAGCATGAGCTCGGTTTTAGGTGACCCTTCATGTATGGGGATTTGAGCAGTAGGAGCTGAATTTGTAGCATATCTGCTCTTATAGGCCGCACCTAGAGGTGTGAACCAAGGCCAGAAAAGACACTGCTTCCTGTTAAGAGTGTTGACAAGGGCTTTGAAACAAATAGGAATGAGTCATTGGAACAGCAGAAACTGTAATTGTGGCTGTAAATGCATGGATGTGTGTGTGTTTGTATATGTGTATAAGTACATGTCTTCTGTGTGTGTCTAAGCATGTCTTTCTTATGTGCCTGTATTGGTTGTCTGCATTTGTGTGTGGACCTGCACATACCTGCGTGTCTGTGAGTGTATGTGTGGAATGTTATGTGTGCATCTATGCGCATCTGTGTGTCTGCGAGTGTATGCATGTGATGATGTTTCTGAATGTATATCATATGTGTGGTGACTGTGTGTCTTATGGCTGTATAAGTGATGTATCTGTCTGTGTGACTGAATGAGCAGACTTGTGTCTGGTGTGCGGGTGTATGTGTGTTTGTGTGTGTGCATGAGAGGGGAGAGAGAGGGGGGGGGAGAGAGAAGAGAAGAGAAAAACACACAGACTGACAGGTAGATAGAAAGGAACAAAGTTTGTCTGTGTGGATCTATGAAGTGTGTACTTATGAGCATGTATATGCCTGTATGGATATGTGTCTGTATCTGAGTGCACATATATGTGTGACTACATTTGTTTATATGTGTATCTGTGATATCTGTATGTTTTGGTCTGTGAGCCAGTATGCCTGTATATGTCTCCTTGACTGCATATGTTCGTGCATGGGTAGGATGTCTATGTGTGCATGTGTCTCTACTGTGCAGGGTAGATTAGCACATAGTCCTAACCTGGCAGATGCTTCAAGATTTGATGGAGGAGCAGCAGACAAGAAGGAAAATCTTTTGCTGGCCCATGGACATATTGACCATGAAGGCAAGGAGGCCAGAAAGAGTGGTTCATGCTTGAGTCTCCACTGATTGCGACTAGGGGGACTAAGCAATAAAGAGTGACAATCAGAAGAGACTAGGCCTTTAAGGACAAGTTAGGATCAATCTGTCCTGAAAGTAAGGGGAAGCACTGGGGACTTAACATATGCTAGTCACACTTGCTAGCTGGTGGTGCACATCTGGCCTTGAAAAAATAATATATTAGAGAACAGCAGAACTCACAGTCAGCTCACAAAGATTCCTCTAGAACCCAGTGGCCTCTTCCCTGTGTGGCAGAAAGAAAAGGCATAGTGACTTAGTGACAGCAAGCCACTACATGGTAGCTATTGATGACCCAGAAGACCCCGAGCAGAAAAGGCTGCGAGGCGAGATGGGGAAACGGTCATCTTACAAACTTCCCAGACTAAACTTTCAGATTTGTGGCTATCTAGATGATGTGTTGAGTCCGACTCTTTTGCTAGTAAAAATAGTTACCTGGCTGTTGCTACACAGGCAAGCCTTCTGCAGTTTCTAGGCACTTGGTGTGTCTCCCACAATCCTATTAAAATACTCTGCTTCAGTGTGAACACACGTTTGGTAGATACAGTTTGGAAACCTACAAGCAAAATTACCTTACAGTAAATATCATGTCCTCTAAGGTTTAAGGAGCTTAGAGAAAGCAGGTTTTTCCTGTAGCAACGTGTTCTCTACACGCTACACCAAACACTGCAGACACACCTGCTGGCCCAGAGGACCTCCTTACCCCACCCCCACACTCTAGGCCTTGTTTCCTCTCTTGAGGACAGTCCCAGTGTGCAAATACCCATACTGAGGTGGGACTTCCAGGGAGGAAGGATTCCTAATTCTTTGGACAAATTCCTTTCTTGCCTTTGTCTGCAACTAGAAGACATCTGTCCTATTTTCATCCTCATAGTCTTCCCTAAGGGCAATGATGAACTGGACCTGCCTAGCCTCCCACGATCAGCTGGTGTTTCACCAAAAGAAAGAATTTCTCTCTCTCGCAAATACAACAAAAACCCAGTGAAAAGCTTTGATTGTTAGCAACAGTCATCAGAGGCACAAGGCCAGGGAAGTGGCCTTGTTTGGGTCCCCTGTGCTTCCAGACCCTGTCTGTTCTGGGTGGTTGGTGCTCCTGCCCAGCTCTCTGTTAATGTTTCGCCGACTTTGACTTCTACTCAAGGGCAGAGTCACTGAGGCCATCTCTACTGTAGGCAGAGCTGTAACCATCTGTAGGCTTTCCTAATTCCAAACCCTCTGGTCATACAGCCCACAACTAGGTATTGGCAAAGCTCCGTGACCCACGGTAGAAAACGTCAGAGTGTCAGAACCCTTCCTTGGGTTACACTGCATCTTCCGGTCCTT